ATGGATGTACATATGTACGCTGTGTAATTATGTGATTGCAAATTGCAATACGAATGCCTACTTTGCTCACCTACTATCTCAGGGCACTTTATCATACATTTACATACATACATATGTATATGCATCTGTCGTATGCGGCATTCAGTGTAGTGTAAAAATAGAAGATATTCTACAAGGATATCGCCGCACGCACTATTAAAGACTTCGTATAATTAAATAGTACGACTTAATTAAAATGCTTAAATAAAAAGATCGTCGGCGATACTTAAATGAGTGTAGTTAGTTGAAGGAAAGATTTTCAGCACACAGAAACCGAAAAAATTGCTATAAAATTGGAAAGCTTTTTAACCATACACAGGCCCGCACGAGAGGGTGGGAGAGAGGCTCGATGGTGTTTCTGCCCGAGCTTGGAATTTTTGAAACGGTCCGGATTTTTCTGCAAATTAAGCTGGATGATAAAAATGAAAATATTTTGCTAAGTTGATAAATTTAAGTACGTAATATTAACGTATGTAGCTATAATAAATACAAAAAAGATAAATGCTAAGGCCTGTCTTATAGAACAAAAAAAAAAGTTTCCCCCACCATCGGAGAAAACCAGGTGCTTGCTAGTCGTTCCGTCAGTGGTCATGGGGAGCTCAGTAGTTACCTCTGAAATCACAATTTCATCCACCTTTTATTCTTGCTATAATATGTATTTTGCCATAACAATTTTGGTCCAATATTTATGAAGTTTTCCAAGTATGGGATCTATATTTATAATCTATTCAGCTTAAAACAAAGGTGGTGCCATTTAATCAAGTATATCTTAGGAACTAATTAAACAATTTAATTACGATACACCCCTGATGAAAGCTAACAAAATTCTACATAAACCGCACATACACCTTTTTTTGATAAGCCTGATGGTTTCTGAGAAATTTATTAATAAGTACAGACTTTTTGTTTTTTCCTGAAAAAATTAAAAAAATTAAACTTTAAGAGGACACAAATTTAAAAAATAACAGATCCTGTATAGAAGAAGAAAATGAATGGATAAATAAGAAAGGAATGAGTAGTCACATGAAAATGCATAGGGATTTTTTGTATGAAAAATTAGCAAGAGTATGAGAAGATAACATTTTTTCCTGCTCATTTTTCATATAAATAATCTTTGCGCATTATCATTTGACCACCCATCGCTTTATTTACCCATATTAGTAGCAGCATTTTTTTTAAGGGACCAGGCTTTAACACAAATAAAAAAATCTACACAGAATCTGTTATTTTTTTAATTTTTTCATGTTAATTTTTACATTTTTTTAATTTTTTCGTAAAAAAAAAAATCCGAAATGATTAATTAATTTCTCAGATACTATCAAGCCTATGGATAAGTGATGTACACTCTTGTATACCGTTTATGAAGGATTTTGTTAGCTTTCATTTTCCATGCTTCGTATTAAGATTATTCAATTGCTACGTGATTGAGTCAAGCCTCTTGTTTTAAGCTGAATAGCGGTAGGTTTTAAATAATTCAAAAACTTCTCAATAGTAAAAAAAGTTAACTCGAATTTCAGAATTAACGAGCAATTCTACAAAGGCATTGGATAGTGGCACCCATGGAACCTTTTAGCTGTAAGCCAGTGCTGTTAATCAATGCTTCTAATATTGTATATTTCTGGCCGCAATATTTACTAAAATAGCCACCGTGACACTTTCATAGGCCAAGTTTCAAAGCTGCAGAGTATTTAGTAATAACTACCTACAAACAATGATTACACACAAATTTTTTACGAGATATTATTTCACTGATTTTTAGCGCTCATAACAAAATCCTGCCAGGCAGTTAGCAGCGATAAACCTTTCAGAGTAATATCTATCTAATATTTTAGAACAAAATTATGGCAAATTAAAAATGTTGAAAAGTTTCTGCAGCCCTTCTTGTTAGCTCTTATTTGCATTGAAATTGTTTTGAAACTGGCAGCCATTTAGCCCAGCCTTATTTTCAATCAAAAACATTTGTATTCGTTTACGTCCTTATTTTGAATTTGTTGTTGAAACAAGTTGAAAATCTCATTTTAATACCACTAAAGTACAACTATTTTGGCAATAAAATGTTTTCCTGTTTTGTTTGCGTACTTTGCACCTGAAAATAACATATCACACACACACACACACACACAAACACGTTGGCATGGAACAATTTTGGTATTTTTGGTAGGTATTTCGAATATGTGACCGCAACTTGGTAGTATGTATGTATGTATATGTAAGTATGTATGTATATACTCATAGCTGCAGTGGAAATGTTGGCTGGCAGCCGTTAGTTTGTGGTCTATGCCATGCCAAAGACGGAGGAGGAGGCCGCTGAGCTAGTGTAACTTGTGGCAACCGGCTGAACGGGTGTGCAACATTGCGTTAACCGCAAATTCAACTATGTATTTTTTATATTAATATATGCATGTATGTAGCTGAGGGATTTCTTTGTACATAAATATGCATTCTGTCTGTTTGCTTATTGGGACAGGTGGCAGGAGCTTTATAAATATGTACAAACTTATATATGTACATATGTATGTACATAATTAAGTACAGTGGCTTAAACTAAGAATGTACGAATGTAATTGCTACTTTGTTAATTTTGAATATATTTTTTCGCTGAAATCCAATTTTTAATGTTTTATTTGCATCAACCGACAAAAGCGATAGAGATTATTTGATCGCATACTAAGTTTGTGCGGATGATGTTACAGCCTGCCAGTGTTCTGTAATCATTTCTGTGATTATTCAGGGCGACTGATTAGAAATTGAACGCCTATCACCTCATTATACGGCAGCCAGGTTAGCTGGCTGTTTTCGACTTTGCGTCTGATGTAACTACCATTTCCTTCTTCTTTGTCTATTACGTAGGGTTCCCCTTTTATTGCGGAATGAATTTCTTGTTTCTCCCCACAGGTGTATCAACATTTCTCACAACAAAAAAGTCTCCTACCCCACTACTATTAATTCTCTTAAGTCGAAAAAAGGACCGATTTCTAAAGAAGTAAAGCAATTGCCGACCACAATTTCCATTGGTTGACTACAGTAACTACATAAAGTATTTTTCAAGGGCCGGAATTACTTCCCGAGTACTCGTCGTGTTTGTTGAATAAAGCTTGACAAACATTTTAAAGGCACAAACTATAACTAGAATATGTCTCCGCTTCGACCCAATCGCCAGCGATGGTCTGAAATGGGCTATGTATATAGTGTTAAAAGTCTGTATTGTTTTGGAAATAGTGCAAGGGGTCCTTTACTTGGCTCGCAGTAGGGTGGCAAACGTTAGACACTTCAACCAGTTTCCTTGTTTTTCTTTTAAAGAGAATTACATTAGCTTGCTGTTATCGGTTAGTATATAAATACCAGTGTGCGTGGACACTTTCCAACCCTAGATATATCCTTGCTGGATTGAATCTAGAGGTTTTCTTCTTATCCAGTTATTTTATTACAAGTAGGAAATAGGTTATCTACTACGCCCGCACGCCATCTGATTCTGTCTCTGGCAATCGCTTTGAGCTGCTTCCTGCTTAAGTCGTGTTTCCTTGTCTCTAGTTTAGGGATTCCATTTAAAATCCTTCTTTGCAGTACTGCAGTCTTATTTGCGCAAAGTTTGGCCCATTCACTTCCATTTTTATCTCCGAATTCAGAGGTTAAGGGGCTCCAATCTAGCGTTCCTGAGCAACTATTCATTTGAGGTTGGTTCTCAGATTCGCCATAAAGAGTAGATCATACCAAATCAGTTGTCAATCTCTTCAACAGTGCCGCCGCCGGGAGCAATTTCGCAGCCAATGTATGTAAAATTTGTACGGTCCCAAGAGTTTGGTCGGAGACTAACAGGTCATCGCAAGACGTCGCTGGCATACTTGGGACCTTGGTCTTATTATAGTTGATTCGCAGGCCTATTGCCTTAGCTTTCTGTGAAGCGCGTTGCACATTTTAGAAAAATTAGAAGTAAGAAGAAGAAGAAGACATACATATGTCGTCAGGGGATGGCCTCATGGCGGCATCCAACATTTCCCCAATCAACAAAAAAAAGAAAATAAGTATACTCTCACTCTGCCGGACCCCGCTGTGAATTTCGAAGACCTCAAATAGCTTTCCTTTCAACCGTACACGATACCTAGCTCTGTCGGCTGTAGATTTAATATCAGCGAGGATTTTTTCCAGGTTTCCTCTACAATGCAGGGCTACCCAAATGCACTCTCTATGAACACCAAGCCTTTTCGAAATCGAAAAACAGCACATGCAGATCAGCTCTGAATTCAGCAAACTGCTCGATGATGATTCTCACTGCCTTTACATGATCTGTGTAGGAGAAGACACCCGTTTTCGTTAGTCGAATTTAGATGTTCCAGCAGAGGTAATCGCTTCAAAATGTTTTCCCTGAAGTTATTGACAATAATCTGACATGTAAATTATTCTAAACTTAAAGAATATATCTCTGGAAAAATTTATTAAAAAAAAAAAAAATTATTCATAAAATATACACCATGTGTGGCATCCTATCGAAAGAGCCGATCTCCAACCGAAGTAGTTATTGCTGCACAAAATAATTTTTCCAGCCTTCAATCTGACTTTTTGAACTTTCTGGAAATTGGAAAGTGGTTTATTAAAAGGTTGGTAGTTCTGGTTGTTTAAAGGTTACAATCTCGAACTAGCGTTTTGGAACCGAGTTCTAGGATAGGGCGTTCTTCAATCAAATTCTGAAATAGGGCGTTCTTGAAAAGTTTTCCGAGATAAGGCTTTTTCGAACTGGCTGCCGAGATAGGTCGATTTTTCACTCAGGTGTCGATATGCTCTTCATCCCCAAATAAGCTAAGATATATGTAACTTAATTTGTTGACCTTAAACAAAAAAAAAACCTTGAAAACTTCGAAACACTCAAAACTCTAATGGAGCTCAAGAGTTTTATGAAATGAAAAAAAAAACCGGTTTGTTTGACAAAAAATCCGATTTATTCGATATTCGAAAAATCAAGATTCCAAAAAAACCTATAGATATCAAAAAAAAAAAAAACGGTGAAAACGGGTTTGGAAAAACCAAGTCAATAACCCTTGTTCTGCTCTTCAGGCGCTTCAAACTAAACCAAAAATTTTACTTAAAATTTCAATTTCGCTTCGCATTGCCCAACACAAAAATTTCTATCAAGCGCCGTGAGTCTTATTGCGGCCTTTAGCGAGTTTCAACGAAATCGAAGCTCTTATTCCATATATTTTTGACTGCAGCTTAAAAGGTAACAATACACTGTGCGCCTTTGCTTCATTTTAAATTTGTTTCCATGTGTTTTTTTTTCCAGTAAGCCGCTTGATTTTCAATTTTTTTACAGAGCTTTTGTGTTATTGGCTTACTTTGGTTGTGTATTATTTTGGGGATTTTAATACTTTGACGGGCTTGCGGTTGTAACTCTAAGCTTGTTAATACTCGCTGCAGTGCTTTTATTTTACCTATTACCTTTATTTTTGACCTTTTTTGACTCGTCGAAATTTTGCTTTTGTCAGTTAAATTTTGGTCAGCAAAAAATATTTAATATTACATAGAAACAAACAAGTACCTTACAGTTAACTGTTTACATGATGTGCCAAACATTTAAGCTGTTCTTAAATTGTGAGATAAATCCTGGCAATTTGAGTATTTGCCTGCTTTTAATAGCTCCTGCCTTAGTTATTCTATTACTTTTTAACCGACTTCCAAAAAAGGAGGAGGTTATCAGTTCGTCGGAATCTTTTTTTTTTTTTTTATGTATGTTACCGCATAACTTTGGACCACGTCAACCGATTTCGATAATTCTTAATAATTTTGCATCGGAAAGGTAGTGTCTCAGAGGTGGTCCCATACTAATCTGGTTGAGATCCGATCAGTGGATCATGAGATATATATATAATTTTTTTTTTTTTTATATGGGAGTTGAAGTCGGTTTTTTTTTTGCTAAAAATTACTTGTTTGTTTATTTTTTATACTGCTACACGCATATTTCTTCACAAAATTTCAGGTAAACTTAGCTACACGCGGTCGCATAGCAAATCATGTGTATGCTCTCCGAGGTACACAAACTCTAACAGGCACATTCACACATACATATAGGTACTATATATATAACAAAAGCCGAAATTTTTTTTCTCCCAACAAACTGCAGCGAAATGCAATAAATATTGCGCGTTTTCGCAAAGCATCCTAACGTCAGCGAGAAAATGTTCAAAATGTGAAAAGTTTTTGTTCGCACGACAGACAATACGCGCCGCAGACAAATAACAAAAGCTGTAAAAATTCCAGCGACTAACAACCGGCGGTTAACAGTGGCGCGGTCGATTGTCGTTTTGTGGCACAATTTTTTTGTTGTTTATTTTTGAGGTTCCAACGCTGGAGACTAGCTGATTGTTGAAGTCGCTTTTTGGCTGCCGTAGCGGCCTGCAGTAGCAGGCAAAAAAAAAAAAGAAAATAAAAATCTACGATCAAAATTCATTTGTCAGTATATGTGTTAGTGTGTCAAAACCATTGAGACTCCACTCGATGTGGCTACACAATACGGTTGCAGCATATTGCAGTAGCAAATTGCAACATATATATGTACATACATACATGCATACATACATACGTATGTACTTACTTTTATCCTATGCAATATGCTAACGTGACTTTATAGTATTGTATTTTTGAAAGTACATGTCCAAGGCGTGCATGTGCGGCATTTGCCAAAATAGCTGAAACAAAAGTTGACGCAATAAAATAAACTGCAACTTTTTAAATGACCCAGTTGGAATATTTTTTAACTAAACTTTTTCACGCTTGGTTTTTTTTTTACTATTCCTAAGACCTGCTCAGAAAATATCACTTTGTGTCCCTATTTTGAAGCTGATGTGCAGAAAATTACCCAAATTTCCAATTAGCTTAAAAAAAGCGAGAAAAATCAATTCAAAACTGAAATTAATACAAATGCCATATATGTACGTTAGGAGGAAATGATCCTTAAATGTATGCTTTAATATTGACACTAATTTAAAAAAAACGTTCTAAGCAGGAATAAGATTTATTTAGATTAACATTCATACAAGGAAGGAGGTAAAGTTGGTTAGCTACAAGAAGAAAGTGATAAAGGCAAAGATTAAATAAAAGTAAAGAAACATAAAGAACTACTAAATATAATGAAAATATGGGAGTGAAAAATAAATAAAACATTAGGATAAAGTTGAAGGAAATGATAAAGATAAAAATGAGAAGATAAATATAAAGATAAAAATGAAAATGAAAAAAAAACGATAGAGACAAAGACAGTTATAGAGAGAAAGAAAAAGATAAAACTGAAGAATGAGATATGTTATGCTATGTTATGTTAAGTTAAGTTATGTTCTGCTAAGTTTCGTTATGTTATATTATGTTACGTTATGCTATGTTATGCCATGTTATGTTAAGTTATGTTATGTTATGTTGTTCCACACATTTTACCTCAATTCACCTTAACTCAACTCACTTGATCTGAACTCAATTCATCCCAACCTCACCACAACTCACCTCAATTCGACTCATCCCAACTAATATTTTCTCAACTCAACTCATCTTATCTGAGCTCTAGTCACCGTAAGTTATATAAACTTATCTCACCTGAACTCACTTAGGTATTTCCTGCCTTTGGGCATGCTTGTAGATGCTTACTCCCGCACCGACGCTATTTCCTCGAGAAACTTCATTAACCGCAGTCACTTTTCCCTAAAAGGCGCTCCAGCCACATCGTTCCACTCAATCTTCACTTGAGGAGATGTGTGTAGAGGAAAGGATTCTTGTAGGAATGCACACAAGCTGACCTGGGACAATTGTAGCAGGTTGGTGTCTCGTCCGTTCACAAGTTCCTCGGTAGATCAGATTGTGGCAAAAGTTGTGGGTCTTACGAGCTCCTCCAATAATACCCAACTGGAAAATATGGGGGACTATTCAGAAAAGACTAATGGAAGAGGGAGAACAGAAACAGTAAATGAAATTGCTATGAGGCCCACATGTAGGAATTGATTAAATCAATAGGCATTCCAAAGATCCCTACAAACTCTTAATCAACTCACAGTCGATCTATACTGGATATCGGTAATTGTCAGGTAAATTGGACGAATGTAACGAATCGCGATTACCCTGACCATCAATCATTTCACCCCAATGCCAACGAAGCACTTTTGGCCATAAGTTGTGAAAGCGAGGTAGAGGTAAAATCACTTAGGCGTTTCTTATGCGAATGCCATCGAATACGAATAATTCGCTACAAATTTTGGGGGAATGATTGCTTCAAGAGCTTCGGTGGTGTAGACACTTTCTGAAAGGAAGGGCTGTTTAAATTCAGATCGAGAAGGCGTAAGAACATTTAGGGATAGTTTCGGGGAAATCTTTCGTGTCTACCTTAGTTGGCCACTATGACACCCAAGAGAACTTGTGATGCGAGTAGCCTGTCTAATTTATTCTCTTTGGGTGGCTTAGTAAAATTTCAAAAACTCGTGAAAATGCAATGAACACACGTTTTTCTCCAAAGCGCCAAAATGTATGCAGTTAGTTATGATGGCACCGCCGAAAAACGTGAAACAACAAAAAACGTAGAGAAAACAAAAACAACAATTTCCGACAACTTCATCATATTTTAACTAAATATGTATGTGGTTTGTATGTTCCATGTGCTTGTACGTGTGCCTGTGCCAGTTTGTTGGGAGTTATTTTATCTACTGTTTGCGTTACGTTGGTTGCCTGTTTGTTTATGATATGCCATGTGTGTGTGTGTGTGTGTTTGTGTGTGCGTGTGGGTGTGCTTTCGTGCGCCTCTACTTTGTAGTTGAAAAATTACGCGCTCAATAAAACTACTGGGCGTATGAGTGATTTTTATGGCAAGCAAATGTGTAAAGTGCTTTTGGACTTTGGCAGTATGGAAAAAAAAAGAAAATGGTTTGAAGATTTATTTGTTTACCACAAAGCGAACTATTTAAATCATTTGATGCCATTAACAGCAGATGATGGAACTAACTATGATCTCTTCGGTGTTTGTTAGTTATTTTTGTTTTTGCGAAGGGCAGATGTACATACGAATGGAGAGTTCTTAAATGGCCGTTTGTGAGAATCACTTCCATAGTAAAAAATCAGTAAATTTATTTAACTTTATTCGGAATTTTTCAAGATATTTTGAGACTTTTCCAGCACTTTGTTCAGTCCCTTAACGATTTTAGTTTGGTATCTTAAGGTTTTGTTATGAATTTATGCGTTCCGAGATTTTTCAGTTACTACGAGTATGCGGTATTTGTCCGGAATTTTTTATTTGGTATTTTTGAACATTTGTAGCATTTTTCAGTATGTTTCCGAGCTTTTTTGAGAATAGTTTAAGATTTCATGGACTAATTCGTGATTGTTTTAGTATGTAGTGTCTAGCATTTTTGCAGTAGGCTTCCAGAATTTTTCGGGACTTTATGGGACAAATTCGTTATTTTCAACCAATTTGTAATTTTTGGGACTAACTCGGGATTATTATTGTATTGGACTAATTAGCGCTTACTTATTACATACAGTGTCTAGTCTTTTTCCAAAAAGTTTGCGGGATTATTATGGACTTTTCGGAACTGTCTTGTGATTTGCTGCACATTTTGGGATTATGTACTATTGCACATAGCGTTTAGCGTCTAGCATCTAGGGGTTGCCGGGACTTTTTGGGACTTTTCGTGGTTTCGGAATTTGCAGGATTAACTAATTCGCAATTTTCGGGAACTTTTTTATACTACTTTGGTATAAAAAATTTTAGTGAAGTCCTAAATAGTAAATAATATTTATTTCAAAATATTCTTAAGGGACCCAAAAATTCCAAGAACTTTAGGTAAAAGAAACAAAGCTTAGTGTTTGCTCGTGAAGATAAGTTAACAATTTTTTTTGAAAATGTTTAGCATAATTAAAGTATGTAAATACTCTGTATATAGTGACATCCAAAATATTTAAGTATGTACATAGGTAAAACTTGATGATTTACTATATTTATATTTAGTTGTAAATACAATTTTGTCAATCAGTGCCTGCTGTAAAAGCTTTATTTTACTCATTTTGCTC